CATGCGGACCCTGCCACTGGGGCCTTCAGTGGATCTCCCTATGGAGCCACGAACCGTGTGAGAGGTGTGCCAACATGGGTGGCGGTCGCCGCATGCGGACCCTGCCGCTGGGGCCTTCGGTGGAGCTCTCTGCGGGGTGTACCAAAATGAGTGGCGGTCCCCGCATGCGGACCCTGCCACTGGGGCCTTCGGTGGAGCTCCCTGTGGGGCCACGAGCCGTGTGAGGGGTTTGCCTCAAGTGGCGTCGGGCGCATGCGGCCTGTGCCACGGGGGCCTCCGGTGGAGCTCCCTGTGGGGCCACGAACCGTGTGTGCCTAAATAGGTGGCGGTCCCCGCATTCGGACCCTGCCACGGGGGCCTTCGGTGGAGCTCCCTGTGGGGCCACGATCCTCGTGAGGGGTGTACCAAAATGGGTGGCGGCCCCCGCATGCGGACCCTGTCACTGAGGCCGTGGGTGGAGCTCCCCGTGGGGCCACGAAACGCTGTCCTGGGTGGCGTTGACGCGTGCGGAGGAGGGGGAGGAGGCGGATTAGGAGGGGGATGAGGAGGAGGAGGAGGAGGAAGAGGAGAGGAGAGGAGAGGAGAGGAGAGGAGAGGAGAGGAGAGGAGAGGAGAGGACAGGAAATGAGAGGAGAGGAGAGAGGAGAGGAGAGGGGAGGGGATTGGAGGAGAGGAGAGGAGAGAAGAGGAGACGCGGGGCGCCGCCTGTTCAAAACGAAGACTCAACACCACAGGATGTTTGGGAAAAACACAAAATCAGTACGGGAGATGTTTTTGGCTATGTTCGGCCCTGGGGGGCCCTCGCCAAGCCTTGGGACCGTCAAACAATTATTCGGGACGGAAAAACCAGTCCCTGGGAAAGGGTCGGGACTCTCTGGGACGCCGTCCCGAAACGATCAGGACGTCGCATGTCTGGGATGGGATTGGCTCGGAGGACTTCCAGGGTGCCTAGTAGCCATTCTCTCTGGCGCTCTTTGGTGGAACATCTTGGGGTCTTGGAAGGCCTGGAAGCCGTGGAAATCTTGGAACGCATTACATTATCAGGACCTCTTGCTCCTATGGGTCACCAGCCCCGAGCTGATCCCAGATCCTCGGCGATACGGCCAGGAACTTTTGCATAGCGTGTCGCCGCGGCGGCCCTGGCGACACACTATGCCATGCAAGCAGATGATGGCGTGCGTTTAGCTCTGATCCGCGGGTTGGGAGGCTGGAGCAGCTCGCGACGTTGACGCTTGGGAGTGTGGACGTGGATCCCGTGTCGCGCCGAAGCGTGGTGGACCAGAACTGACGGCGCGACACGCTAAGCAAGAATTTCCGACCGTATGATTTGCGTCAACTGGCGTTTTTGTTTCCCACCCACGCAGGGGCCTTTTCTGGGGCCCAGGGGCTGCCAGCAATGGATCCGGGAAGTGGTCGGGACCTCTGGGGCCGCGTATTGAAAAACATGAATACCAGAGGATGTCAGGGATCCCTCACTGCCCCTGGGATCGGCACGCCCCGGGCGATGGCAATCCAAAGGGTTGGCCCACCAGAAGCTGAGGGGGACACTGAAGATCAGCACCGAGACGGGATGATGCCGATCACAAGGATAGGGATGTGTTTCAGTGAGGGGGAAACTTCAGGGGGGACCAGCTCAGGAGGGGGACATCGAGCTGGAACCGTCGATACATTGCCGAATCGATCGGCGATCGGCCCCCGATGGCGAGTCCGCACATTCCTGTGCGGGGGGGGCTGTCGGGTACCTATCGGCGGTGGATGGGGGGCATGGGGGGCCGATGCGTTCCCCCTACCCATCTGTCGGAAGAAGTAGGTAGAACCCTGAAGTAGGAAGGCATTGGAAGTAGATAGGGTTTCCGCCCGCCTCCTGAACCGGAGGGAAGAGTGAACACCACTCAACTCTTGAAGTAGGAAGGCGGCTAAAGAAGATTGGGAACTGGGGATCCAACACCACCTACTTTCAACGACAGATGGGGAAGCCTGTCCACCCCTAACTGGGGAGGCCAAGAGGCACCGATGCCGCTGCTCCCCCAGACCTCTCCTGGGGCGCGCTCTGACCAGCATCTCAAGGGGAAGCCAGCGGCGGCGACGAGGGCCTCCCGGGAGGCTGGAAAAGGGCAAAACACTGGCGAAGAGTAGCGGTACAGTCGGGGCGTTGACCTAAGGAACCCAAAATAAGGAACGAGGCCCCTCCTTTCCCATGAGTTAAACTTCGATTCCCCATCGAAGACCCTGGGAAAACCTGAGGCAAGCTGCGAAACAATCAGGGGACACGGAGCCCCTCCCCAACGAAAAGGGCTCCTGCTTCAAGACCCCTACTGTATAGGGGACCGTTTCCTCCTCTGGCGAAACGTTGCCCTCCAGCGGTCGGGGCCACATCTCGGCGCGCCGGCGGCCGCGCGGGACGAGCCGCGTGCACTCACGCGGCAGGCGCCCGCGGCCGGGCGCAGGCCGCCGGAGAGAGGGCACCCCGAGGCGGCCAGGCCGCCGAGGGCCGACGGGGGCGCCCGAGGAGCTCGAGCCTCGGGCCCGCGGCGTCGCCGCCCTTGAGGCAGGCGCGCTCCACCGCTCGCCAACTGGCTGACTGCCCCACCAGGCCACCCCAACCCGACCCGGCGACCCGAATTTGATCCGCGTTTCGGGTTGGGGGCGGGGGATAAGTACGGGTTCCATGTGTGTTTGATTTGCAAATCTTCCCCGACCCCCCCCCCCCGCTGGAATTGGATGGCAACTTGAAGCCTTCGGGGTTGGTTGGGGTGGTCTGGTGGGTGGCGAGAAACTACTCGCAAATGGCCTGGATCCGCCGAAGGAAATCTACGATCCCTCGCATCGACGAAGACATGTATTCTCCAGACGTTTGCGCGCAGACACTCTGCGAGAAGCGGAACGCGCTCGGTGACCCCTGAGCCTGTCCACCCCCAATTTGGACAGGGACCGACCGTCCCGGCACTCCTGCAGGCCAGCCACGACAGGCTCTCAGAACTAAGGAGTGGTCCAAGAACAAGAACAGTGCTCTGAGAGCACGAAACCGGTGTATGCTAAAACGAGACGCTCCCCGCCAGAACTGTGCTAAGAACACGTCGTGCAAACGACAGGAGGTTCTTAGGACACTCTCTGGTGGGCCTATAGATGGGTGAACCAAGACGCTTCGCCACGTGAGCGTGATTTTCCCGGACTTTCAACATTGGGCGGAAAGGGGGGAAGTCTGGCTCCGGCCCTCTGCTTAATGCGACCGTTTAGTGCGTCCTCTGGGGGAGGAGTCTCCTCACCCAGAGGACCTGCTCCACGGGAGGGGCGGGGGGGGGAAGGTGCGAGGGCCCGTCCCGATCGGCAAACCGGCCCAGACCCCGACTTCGCGACTGTTCTACGACGTCGACCCCCAGAGGTCTGGAACCCTTCCCCGGGACCGGTTTTTCATCTTGAGTCGTTTTTCGGCGGCCCCGAGGTCCGGCGAGGGCCTGGAGGCCGAAAATAAGAGCAAATCTCCCGTCGTCCTTTTTCACGACGCGAGTGGGTCTGGGAGGCCAGCCAGAACGCTTCGCCACTGCTTGAGAAACGCTGCCCCTGCTTCCGGCTGGCCACGCCTCCCCCCGTGGCGGACACCGCAGGTCCCAGGGGCGCGCGAGGGGGCGAGGGAAGGAGGAGGGGAGGGGGGGGAGGAGGAGGAGGAGGAGGAGGAGGAGGAGGAGGAGGAGGAGCGAGGAGGAGGAGGAGGAGGAAGAGGAGGAGGAGGAGGAGGAGGAGGAGGAGGAAGATAAGATAAGATAAGATAAGACCGCCCTTGACGCCAAGTGTCTCTCAGTCTCAAAATCAAGGCGTCGGCGAGGCACACTAATAGTGCCAACTGGATGATGGCGGCAGGCGCACTGCTCGGGGAGGCCCGAGACTGGCCTGCAAGCGCCACGGCTTGTGGATGGCCACCCGTGGGCCTGATAGCACAAGCCGCAAGTCACACAGAGCTTCTCCCGTCCCCCGACACCCCCGCCGTACCCCGACCCTTCCCTTTCTCATGAATACTCGGTGGCCTAAATCGGCCTTCCCGAGCACGCAGAAAAGAGAGTGCAGCACCTGGAGAGATCACTCCTCTTAAAAGAAGGTCCGCCATGCGAACAGAAAAAATTTCGAGACGCCTAGCCAGGCGCCTAAGTTCACTCTCCTCAGACCCTATACATTCTCTCCTCGAACTCCTCAGCTCATGTTGTTCAGCTCGTCTAACAGCTTGGATGCTTCCCTCTCCAACGGCCCGCGCGGGGGCGGGCCGATCTTCAACACCCCGTTCTCCTTCTTGATGGCTGATACCACCGCCACCTCCAGATCTTTCCACTGACTCGAAAAACAAATCGTGATCCTCATCATGTCCTTGGCATTCTCCTTCTTGCGGGTGTCTCGGATCCTGCAGTGGCGGATCTGCTCCGCCAGCGCGAACAGCTCCTCCTTCAGTACTCTGTTGGCCCAGAACTCGGCGATCATCTCGCGATGCTGGCCAGTGAGGCCCGCTACCTCGTGCGCCGCCTGCAGCAGCGCTTTGAAGACGTGCAGGAACGGCGGTCCTAGAATATCGTGGCCTCCTCCGCCTCCTGACTTCAGCAACTTGGCCTGGGCATGATAATCTTGGCCCGCCTTCTTCATGGCGACCGCGATGCTGGCGTCTGACGGGATGAGGAAGGTGAAATAGACCGCCGCGATCAGATCTCGCAGCTCCGCGGCTTGAGTGAGGGCGAGAGCGGCGAGCACTTTCATCATGCGCTCCAGCACCGCCTGCTTGGAACCTCCGCCGCCCGCCTCGCTCCCGATCTGCGTGAGCAGCTTCTTTCTGTCTGCTCCTCCCTGCGAGTCGGCACTTCGTTTGAGCGCCCACTTCGGCTCCTCGAGCGGCATGCGTATGCGCTGGTGTGTGTTCAACAATGTGACGATGCAGATCGGCTAGAGTTTGAGCCGAATACTCACATAACGGACAATCCAATGACTTCGGTTCAATAACAGCACCCAGATATCTACATCTTGACACCCGATCTGGATGAGCACGCTTTGAAATAACATGTCTGTACGCCGCTTGATGACTCGAAAAGATCTCAGCGCAATATGGGCATTGATTTGTCACCACAATCGATGCATACACATCCGTTCTATGATGTACACGTTGTATGTGTGTGGACAAGGCTCGACTCGACTCGAACGCCGCAGGACAACATACACCATTATCTTCAAAAAAGCACTTCCACAGCCCATCTCCCCCCTCTCGTCGACTATGCTTCCCAAGACCTCCCTCCTTGCACGGTTTTTGCACATCCTGGGCCCGAAGGAGGCCCACATCCACCTTCAGAAAATCTTTCCGTACCTCAGTTTCAGAAAATATGTCCACTATGTAGTCCCCCATCTCCGAGAGAAACCATTCTGCATCCTCCACCGTACTAAGGGTCTTGACATCCTCCAGTACACGCACCGCCCAAGGATTCGCCGTCGTACTCAAGAGCCCGAATTCGTCCATAGTAGTCCCACCCTCCCAACTCATTTTTCCGAAGTGTGCTGCAAGCCACTGCCGGTGTCTCTCAGGACGTCGTGCGATCGCCTGCAATCTCTTCAGGCGCCGCACTCGCAGCTCTACCTCCAGCGAACACAAGCGCCAATACTTACGTACACGTTCGTTAGACCATGCTCTATGCACTCCATCTTGTTCAGTATGAGCTCCTCCTCTCATTGCCTTACGCGCCAGTTGATCTAGAACGTTCTGTAATTCAGCTAGTTGCCTATCTGACGGAATATACGCCTCCATGTTCTGTGCTGCCGTGCCTACTATAAAAGACAAAAACATCGATCGCTTCAATCGATGCGGGACGCCCTTCAGGAACCAAAAACTCCCTAGAGAATAAAAAGCTTTATATATAGCCGCTTTTCGGGCCCTCAGCTCTGGAGCAAAAGACTGTGCCAATCTAGGATCAGCTACAAATTGTCCTCCTAAATACCGAATCTGGTGGCATATTGTGCCAGAAGTCTTCAACCTACCCATGCGCGTATCTCTTAAATCCAGATGGGACCCAGGGCCAGACAAATTAATAAGACAGGTCTGCTTCTTAGTATTCTGAGCACAGTTACTATCTGCTAAAGCCTGCGTCAGCAAGTCCGACGCCTTCTGAACTCTTGCTAGCAAAGGGGCTGCCCTTTCGCCAGCCCTTCCAAGGTGAGAAAGCTCAAGGTCATCAGCATACTGGCATAACGTGAGATCGATTGGCTCTGGGTCGCACGGGCTAGACGCCACCAAGCTCGTGTCTGTCACACCAGCTGCGGCCATCAGCTCGCGCCATATTCTTACAACTGGTTGGAAAGCCCTCACCCACGCCGCCACCATGAACGGGTCCCCCATCATCCCTCCACATCCAGGCCGCAAAAGCACGGACCCGAATTCGCACGGCACAGAAATGGTGGCCCGCTCCACCCTCTGTAGCCCCATCGGGACCGCTTGCCAGTCAAAAAGCGAAACCACAGCAGCTTTTAAACGTCGTTGTGCTATACTTCCGAAAGCGTTGGTTGCATCAAAATACTGCCTGCAAAAAGACCTATTCTCTCGCTGCGCTCTCCAAGCCAAGATCGATGAAACCAACATGGGTGTCTCCTTACTTCTACCAGGCTGGTATCCGTGCACATCAGGGTCCATATTCTCTCTGTACATGATAGCCGAGTACCACACCTTACCGAACGAGGGCAACATATGAACCCACCGCTTCCCCGCAGGTCCCTCGGCCTCAGACTTCCTCAGACCTCCAGCCTGACTGCAATGCCAGAATTTTGGCGTGCTCTGTGCTGTGCGTATGCGCCACATGCCTAGATGAACAGCCTTTGTAAATAGTACCGTGGGGCGGGACGGGTCAGGAGCTCCGACTCCTGCAACCTGCTTCTTCGACGGGATGCCCGCCCCAGGATTCAAAGCCATGTCCCACAGCTCCACTGGCGACGACCATTGCGGGGTCACCCTACGCTTCTGGACCTTACGCAGCTGCCTACGCACTCTCTTCATGTCTTCACCCGCCTGCTCAAAAACCTGCGCGTCATACGGGACCGCAGAGCAGACCGGTGGCAATCCTTCCCACTCCCCCACCTCCCGAGCCGCCATCCCCCCCTCAGGTCCAGGCAAAGCCCAGAAATCTAACTGCTCCTTCCGCGTGGGCAGGGCGGTCCTGATCTCTAAAAACTTACGCTTTTTTGGTCCCGTGCGGACGCCCGCCGCAGCCCTCGCATGAAAAAAAGCACGATGGATGTTGCGCACTCTCCATGACTCTCTCATGGCCTCCATGTGCTCTTCTTGCTTCAGCTTAAATGCAGCTTTGGCTAGTCCTCTCAACTGCTTAGTCAAGAGGCGGAGCCTATCCGAAATCACATCTACCTGCTCCGATGGGGCCCCACCAAGAGTCCTTCGAAGCTCCCTTCTACGCACAAGCAGCTGCGAACGCTCTCTCTCATTGTCCGCTCTACCTCCAACACTCTGTGAGGCCTTTGAAAAGAGAGGTGCCGCTGTGTCATACAGCACCTGTTCAAGAAATTGAAACAAGTGGTCAGGCTGCGGCTGAGCGGCCAGAAGGGTCCACTCTGCCTTAGTTCGCTCCATCGCCTCCTCCACCCCGTCCAAGAAGTCCCTCAGTCCCACCCCGCCCCTCAACGCCGCCATCATCGCATCAGGATGCAAACGCTGCTTGCCTAGCGCCGGTGGGGCACTGGCGGCTGTGATAATCTCTCGCGAAAAAAGAGGCCTTACTACCTCAACCAGCACAGGCAAATGATCTCTCTTGGCTGCTACATTTATAAGTTGCAAAGCTCTGCCTTTGCCTACGAGCGGTCCCGCCACACGTACCGCCTGCATCATGGCCGTCGGCACGCACACGTAATCGATGATCGAGTTGTGGTCAGTGCCGTAGAACGTGGGAAGGCCACTCAGCGTTGAGGCCGCCGTCATGAACTGCGCTTCGAGTACTGCTCTGAAGGCCGCTCCTGCGAAATGCTCCAGGCTGGCCCCCTCCGTCTTGATTATATCTGGGTTCACGCTCTCCTGATCTGAGTCCTTAGTCAAACCCATGCCGTCATTCAAGTCACACATCACAATCGGTACCGACCGCGTCGGACAGGAAGCCAATTCCTTGGATAACCACTGTAACAGGCCACGTACCGTACGCTTGTAGAGTCCCTGCTTCCTGGTCTCCGTCACCCTCGGCGGGAAATACAATGCCAGCACCGTGAAATCCTCGCTCCTAGTTCTGACTCTCACCGCTAGGCACCTTCCCAACATACCAGGAGGCCCGCCTCGAACAGCTCTAATATGTTCTTCTCTGAATCTGCGATGCAACATCACTGAAACGCCACAAGATCGGTTCGAGCACGGGCCTCGCTGCCACCCCGCTTCAATAAGAGTTCTCCCCTTGACTATTCTACGTTGAATATCCAATTCTTTGGCACGCAATTGTGTTCCCGTCAGGGCAATAGCTTCGACGTCACGAAAAGATTCACTCACATCAGATATTCTATCAGCTCGTGTACATGCTAGAGGATTATACTGCACAAATTTCCACGTAGGGCCAACTTTGCTCTGAAGGGTACGCCAGAGAGGCATAAAGGACAGGAAGAACAGCACATTCAAGCGACTCATTGCACCTGCACCATCATTCCGTCCAACCAGTTGGCCTGAGGTTCAATAAAGGGGAACCTAGAGGTCAGGATGTGTAAGCTGCCCTATTGCATCAGCCACAACGGCAGCTAGGAGGAGGAAGAGGTGGAGGAGGAGGAAGAGGAGGATCGATCGGTCGATCGAGCTCTTGGGCCTGTCTGGGGTTACCGAACTACGACTAATACAGTGAGCCTTCAAAAACTCTAGTGCGGCCTAACTGTGGTCACTTTCTGGAAAGGGGGACGGTGGCGCCACGGGGCGCTCGGGCCCTACCTGCACCGACCTCCCCACGCAGGGGTCCACGGGCAGGGTCGCACCCGCGTTTACGGGTGCCCTCTCGCGTTCTCCTCTCTACACCTTCCCTTCCCCCCTCGGCCCTTACCTTTGATGTTGGGTCCGGGGGGGAGGTCGGTGCACCACATAGTACTCAGGGAAGCGTGGCCCATGGAGTTGGAAGAGGGGAGGAGCCTCGGTGGGCGGCGGAGGAGGACGCCTACCTTCCCCGAGTAACTGTCGGAATCGCTCGCTGGTTCGAAAAACCCGAGGCACTGCGATGGGGGCAGCGTCGGCAGAGCGCAGCTGCACAGAATGCTCACGGTCGCTCTCAAGGCCTTCGGCCTCACCCTTACTGTGGCCCTTCCCTGGCCCTTTTGTTCTGGTCTCCTGTTGCAGGGCGCGAGGAGGAGGAGGAGGAGGAGGAGGAGGAGGAGGAGGAGGAGGAGGAGGAGGAGGAGGAGGAGGAGGAGGAGGAGGAGGAGGGGGGAGGAGGAGGGAGAGGAGGAGAGGAGGGAGGAGGAGGAGGAAGAGAGGACTGACGACGACGACGACGACGACGACGACGGCGACGACGGCGACGACGACGACGACGGCGACGAGGCTGGCCGCGCCTCCCCCCGCGGCGGTCACCGCAGCCCCCGGGGCGCGCGGGGCCGCCGCGTGCGCGCCGGGGGGGGCGGCGGGCCCCCGCCGCGGAGGGCGGGCCGCCCACATGCCCGCATGGCCCGTGCCGCCCGCGTCCCGCCGGGCTCGAGACGGCCTTGGCCATGCCGAGGCCTCCTCCTCCTCCTCCTCCTCCTCCTCCGCCTCCATCCCTCCCTCCCCCCTCCTCCCTCCTCCTCTCCTCCTCCTCCCTCTCCCCTCCTCCTCCCCCTCCTCCTCCTCCTCCTCCCTCCTCTCCTCTCACTCTCCTCACCTCCCTCCTCTCCTCCTCCTCCTCTCCTCCTCCTCCTCCCTCCACTCATCATCATCATCATCCATCATCATCATCCATCATCATCATCATCATCTCTCATCATCATCATCAGCATCATCATCCTCATCCTCATCTCCTCATCCTCCTCCTCCTCCTCCTCC